CGCAAGCTGGAGAAGCAGAGCAAGGTGGAGGTCTACGCCGACGCCGACCAGATCCTGCAGGAGGAGATCCGCGAGTACCGGGTGCGATGACGTCACGGGCCCCCCGCGGTGACGTCACCGACCCCGCGTGACCTCACTGACCCCGCGTGACCTCACCCCCCCCCGCCGTGACGTCACTCATTGACTCCCATGGGGATGTCGTTGACCCCATGCTAACGTCCCCACGCTGACATCCCCGCCACCATGATGATGTCCCCATGATGACGTCACCATCCCCATGATGATGTCACCATCCCCATGATGTTGTCACCATCCCCATAGTGACGTCCCCATGATGACGTCCCCATAATGACATCCCCACCCCCATGATGATGTCCCCAACCCCAGGATGACATCCCCATGGTGATGTCACCACCCCGGTGATGATGTCACCACCCCGATGATGATGATGTCATCATCCCCATGATGGTGTCCCCATAATGACGTCCCCAACCCCATGATGACGTCACCATCCCCATGATGCCGTCCCCATCCCCATAGTGACGTCCCCATGATGACGTCCCCATAACGACGTTCTCGCCACCATGATGACGTCCCCATAATGACGTTTCCACCCCCATAATGACGTCCCCAACCCCATAACGACGTCCTCACCACCATGATGACGTCCCCATAATGATGTCCCCACCCCCATGATGACGTCACCATCCCTGTGATGATGTCCCCATCCCTATAGTGACGTCCCCATGCTGATGTCACCATGGTGATGTCACCGTGCCCATGATCACGTCCCCACCACCATGCTGATGTCACCATAGTGACATCCCTATGATGATGTCGCCATGATGACGTCCTCACCACCATGAGGACGTCCCCACGATGATGTCCCCAACCCCATAATGATGACCTCAACCCCATGCTGACGTCACCATGCTGACGTCACCATCCCCATGATGCTGTCCCCATCCCCATAGTGACGTCTCCATCCCCATAGTGATGTCCCCATGCTGACGTCCCCATAACGATGTCCTCACCACCATGATGATGTCCCCATAATGACATTTCCACCCCCATAATGACGTCCCCAACCCCATGATGATGTCACCATCCCCGTGATGATGTCCCCATCCCTATGATGACGTCCCCATCGTGACATCCCCACCACCATGATGACGTCCCCATGGTGACGTCACCATCCCCGTGATGATGTCCCCATCCCTATGATGACATCCCCATAGTGACGTTCCCACCACCATGATGACGTCCCCATGGTGACGTCACCATCCCCGTGATGATGTCCCCAACCCCATGGTGACGTTCCCAACCCCACGATGACATCCCCATAGTGACGTTCCCACCACCATGATGACGTCCCCATGGTGATGTCACCACCCCCATGATGACATCCCCAACCCCATGATGACGTCCCCATGGTGACGTCACCACCCCCATGCTGACGACCCCAACCCCATGCTGACGTCCCCATAACGACGTCCTCACCACCATGATGACGTCCCCATAGTGACGTCCCCATAGCGACGTCCTCACCACCATGACGACGTCCCCATGCGGGCGTCCCCACCCCCATGCCGACGCCCCCATGGTGACGTCACCGCCCCCGCGATGACGTCCCCGCGGTGACGTCGCCGTGGCCACCCCGCAGGCGCGGCTGACGTGCCCGTGCTGCAACGCGCGCCGCAAGGACGCCGTGCTCACCAAGTGCTTCCACGTCTTCTGCTTCGAGTGCGTGCGGAGCCGCTACGAGACGCGCCAGCGCAAGTGCCCCAAGTGCAACGCGGCCTTCGGCGCCCACGACTTCCACCGCGTCTACATCAGCTGAGCGCCCACGGGTGCTGCGGGGCACCCTTGGGTGTCCTACATCATCTATGGGTGTCCTACATCATCATTGGGTGGCGTTAACCATCTACGGCCACCACAACCCAAGGGCAACGTCCACCGCGTCTACATGAGCTGAGCGCCCATGGGTGTCCCCAGTCACCTATGGGTGCTATGGGGCACCATTGGGTGTCCTACATCATCGTTGGCTGTCCTACATCATCGTTGGGTGGCGTTGACCGTCTACGGCCACCACAACCCAAGGGCAACATCCACTACGTCTACATCAGCTGAGCACCCATGGGTGCTACGGGGCACCCTTGGGTGTCCTGCATCATCTATGGGCGTCCTACATCATCATTGGGTGGCGTTGACCATCTACGGCCAGCATAACCCGAGGGCAACGTCCACCGCGTCTACATCAGCTGAGCGCCCACGGGTGTCCCCAGTCACCTATGGGTGCTATGGGGCAGCATTGGGTGTCCTACATCATCGTTGGGTGTCCTATATCATCGTTGGGTGGCGTTGACCGTCTA